GCGGCTGGGCGGGGGTGGGGGTACTGGGTAGGCTTCCTTCGGTCTCGTCACCCCCAGACAGGAAAGGTGGATATAACCCCGGATCTATAGCATATGCTGGATGTCACTGTGAAATCGCTGTTAGCTCATTCAGTCCTATAGTTCTCTATTTCTAGGAAACTAGAGCATCCCACGATTCCTCCCAAATCTCTCCGCCATCAACTTTAGAGTCCCCGTCTTATTTGAAAAACTCTAAAGTCCTTTTTAATTAATCCAGTCTATAGTATAATTAATCCCCAAATCCTAGAAATTGTAGACCTCTCAACTCCCTCTAAAGTCCCTCTAAAACTTTCCAATACTTTTTCTTCTTGATCACTTAAGAAACTCGGGGAACTCCAAGCTAGCTCAAGGCCCCCACCCATCTTTTATTCTAGTAGAAGTTACATTTTCACCTTCATAACAAATAGGGATCTTTCCCTTGTAAAGCCAGGATCGCCTGGAGCCTTGCGTATCTTTGGAAAGGGCTCCCTCCCCTCAAAAATCTCAGCATTCCGGAGAGTCTAATACCCACAGAGTCTAATACCCACCAGATAGGTGCAGCCCCTAACACATCCCAGAACCCTGGCCCTTCATCCTCCCATTAAAGCAATGGGTTAGTTGTCGCCTAAACCTGAGAGCCCTGGTCTTCTCGGACCAGACTGACTGATGGAGAGAACGCAAGACAAAAAGGGCTGCAGCGGGGCTTACCCGGCCGGGCGGCCCGAGACCACCGCGACCTCGACGGCCTGGCGGGAGCTGGGGCTTGGGCTGGGGTCCGCGGTGGCGGCTGCGAGGAGCGGGAGAAGCAGTCCTAGCAGAAGGGGGCGGCAGGCGCTGGGGCCGGGCCGCCGCATCGTGCCGAGTGCTGAGTCCGGCTCCGCGCGGGCCATCAGCCCTGCGTCCAGCGGGTCTCTTTCAGCACGGCCCCGCCCCCGCCCCGCCTCCGCCCCAGGCAGACTCACTTTCTCCAAGGCTTGAGCCCGGGGGCTGCAAACTTCCCGCCAATCATAGCCTTGAGCTGCCAGCACCCCCCCGTGCGGCCAATGGGGAGGTGGCAGAGGTGGGGCTAAGCGAACAGGTGCTGGGCGGGGGCAAAGGGCCCTCAAAGTCTCCTGGAGATTGGAAGAAGTCAGGAGTCGGGTAGCGACCCAGGGAACCCTCTTTTGGAGCACAGGCCTCAGGTGAGTGGGTTCTTACCCCTGGGATGCAGAGGGCAGGGCAGGGTCCCTAAGCTAGACTCCTGCTGCCCTCGCTCACAGGATTTCTGGGAACCCCCACAGCGCCCACTGCTCAAAAGAGGGACTACAGAGGACTGAGGAGATAGCTCAGTGGAATAAGTACTTTCCTGGCAAGCGCAAGGTGCTGAATTCGATCCCTGATTAGCCCTTCCCCCCCCCAAAAAAAAAAAAAAAAGAGACCACGGATCCGGGAACTGAATGCGAATTTTGCACTGGGTCCCAACTCCCGCTCCTTTGAGGGTCTTGGGTCCCCCCTAGACCTCGCCCAAAGGATTTGGTCCTTCTCAAGGCCTTGTCCTTCAGAGCTCCAAGCTTCCTCCGAAGCCCAGCCCCTCCGGGACCCAGGCTCCACCGCGATCGACAGACTCCGCCTGCAGAGGGCGCCCACTCCTCCACCTCTCTGCCACCATCCCCAGAAGGTACCAGTCTGCTGCCAGAATTGCAGGCTTTTTCCAGAGTCCTAGTACTTTTCTTTCCTAAGAGTTCCAACCCCCTTTATTGGGTTCCAGGCTCCAACTCCGACTCAGAACCTCCAAACTCACGAGTGTCTCAAGTCTAGCCCATTCCTTTTATTCAAAACCCAAGGTCCCACCCTCTTCTCGCTTAGCCACAAGCTCCGCCTCCCTGCCCAAAGGCACCGCCCCCAGAGCTGCAGACTCCACCCCCAGCTGCCCCCTTTACCCCCGAGCTTCAGGCTACACCTCTTCCAAGAGAGCTAAAATTGTCCTACATTTAAGGTCCTGGGCCTCACCCTTTCCAAGCGAGTCCTGTTTCTAGCTCCTGGTCTCATCTTTCCTAGCAGTTTGATTCTTAAGGTTTCCATTTCTGGAGTGTTAGCTCCACCCCCGGCTACACACACACAACACACACACACACACACACACACACACACACACACAAAACGTACTAGGGCCACACAGGCCCTGTCCTCCGGGCCTTTGTTGGACTGAGAACAGCAAATAATCTGACTTGGCCCCCGTCCCCTACTCCTTGTTCCAGTAGGTGTGCAGTGTAGATGGAATTCTGTCACCCCTCCCTTGTGGAAAGACACACGGTGACTCACAGTCACTCATACCGACACTGCCATCTACAGTAATAAACGCTTCCATCCCACACTGACACCTAGAAATCTGGGCCTACCCACCGTCCAGGGACCCAGAACCCCCGGAGCAGTAACAATGGCATTTAAGCCTCGTTCATGGGCATTTGTGGGCTGACACAGTAGGACATGGAAGCCGGGCTCTACCCACAGAATGTGCTCCATGCCCCTGCCTTTGTGTGGCCCCTAGATCCCTGTTCACTTGGCCCTGCAGGACACCATGCCCCTGACCCATTTCCCCTCTCCCCACCTCCTACCCTGTGGCTGGAGCATTTGCTGGGGGCGCTGCCGAAATTTCTTCCTTCTGCCTGCGATCCAGGGCATCTTCAATACTCGTTGCTAGGCAACAGCCTCTGGCTCACCACTGCAACTTCCGGGGATAGCATTGGCTTCCCATCCCCCCAGAATTTGGAGTCCCCAGCTTTCAATCCCTATTTTCCTGGATTGTGTTTATGTCACCCCTGAGTCCTGACTCAATCCTTAAAAACCTATCAGTTCTAGACCCTTGGCATTCCAGAAGCTAGCTTTTCCCTATGATTCTACTCTTCACTTGTTTTATCCTTTAAAAAACAACAACAACAACAAAAAAAAAAAAAAACAAGCTCTCATCCTGTAGTTAAGGCTGGTCTTCTTGAAGTAAGAAGAGTAAAGCTACATACCAGGTAGCCTAGGCTGACCTTGAACTCAATGATCCTCCTGCCTCAGCCTCCCAAATGCTGGGATTACAGGTGTGAGCCACTACATACTCCTATCTTTAACATTATTTAAAAACAAAATTCTTCAGTGTTCTAGAGTTAGCAATATTCTATATCTGTTACCACTAAAATATATGCTTTCCAGAAACATGAATTCCCTGATATTAAAAAAAAAAAGGCCTCAATATTTTGGATCTATATTATAAAACATCCTCATCTTCTAGATTTACTGATATTCTAAATTCCACACATACACTGTCTAGAATTCCCAGGAAACATCCCTCAGTAGTCTGAAATTTCTCACCTATTAAAAAATGTAGTTTGAGATGCACAGGAATTCCAGAACACCTAGGTTTTAGAGTGATTCACCTTTTAGGTCTCCCATGTGTGTTTCTAGAGTCTCTGATAATCCAGAACTCCATACCATTATGCATTTCTTGAAATGCTAACAAACCTTCTAGTGTTCTACAGAGTCCAGAGTATCTCCTCTAGAAAGCCCAGTAATCCAGATTCTTTTCTGCATGACCTAAGTGTGGACATGCACAATATCCCTACCAGGGGACAATCACAGGGATCCCTTGACCCTCCCTCTTCCACAGTCAGTGACTTTCCCAGCCCTTTTTGGTCAGAAGTAGCAAGTCTGTACTTTCTGACATGCAGGGGAGAAACCTAATATTGTTCACTGAACCCTAATATTGTTCATTCCAGAATAGCTCTGGCTTCTAGATTTCTCAGCATTAGGGCCAGCCTGACAGTTCAGCAACTAAAGCACCTGCTTAGGCAGAGTGCAGGGGCTGAGATTTGATCCCAGGCATGCCATGCCAGCCCCTAGCGCTGAGTCGGTGACTGACACTGGGCGTGGTGGTGCGTGCCTGTAATCCCAGCGCTTGGGAGGCCGAAAACAGAAGCACTACCAGTCCGATCTACATAGTGAGACTCCGTAGACCCTGTCCTAAATACAGAAAAAAAAAAAGATTCCTTAGTATCCTAAGTCCCCTTCCACTGTTTTAGAAGTCCTAGTATTCCAAAACTCTGGAATTCGAGTTAGTATATTTTAAAATCTCTCGTTCCTATTCTGCTCCACTTTCTCTCCTGTTCACTAGGCCAGGAGGAAATGTCGTAAACCTCCCTGAGGAAGTGCCAGGGGGACAAATATGATTGGGGGAGGGGTGGATCTAAAGATACTATGCTAAGGTGAGCTGAAACCCTACCCAGAAAAAAAGTGAGGGACTAGGTAGCCAGGAATGCTGAGCCAAGTATTTCTAGTGGCAAGGTTTAGAGCACAAATGTTCAGCACAGAACAATTTATTTGCCACCTCAGCTTCTGCCACCTATAGACATTCAAAGATCTCAGACCGCTGCCTGAGGTAGCAGTACCCTGATGCTGTTTTCAGAACTCCAGCCCATGTGGGGCTGACTTCACCTTCTAGTTCTGAGGGCTCCTGATTGAGGCCGGGACAATGAGCACCTTCATCACATTAATTCTGGTAGTGGGTTCAGGAGTGGTGATGACCCACTTAATTTAAGCCAGTGATGATGTTTGCTCAGAGAGAGAGAGAGACAGAGAGACAGAGACAGAGAGAGACAGAGACACAGAGAGAGACAGACACACAGAGACAGACACACAGACAGATAGACACACAGACATAGAGCCAGAGACACAGAGGAAGAGACAGAGACAAAGACATTGCTAAGGAGCTTTTGGGTGGTGAACACCTGACTGAAGATGATGCATCCAAGAAGACAGCAAGAGGTGGGAAGACACTCTTGAGTAGGTGTCTGAAGCCTGAACCCGGCCATAGCTGAAGCCACACTCTGAGCCAATAGATTCTCTTCTTCAATTAGACCAGGAGAGGCAGACAAATCTATAGTCAGGAAACTGGATGGGCCCTACATCTTCCCCAGCCCTTCCCCAGGGAATCCCCAAACTCACTGAGAATGTAAACAAGGTGATGGCAGTGAGAGTTTTATTGGAGAGGCTGGCCTTGGCTTCCAGAAAAGGGGTAAGATGGGGACCTAGTAACAATGACCACTCTAAGGAGGCCCTGGCCCTGAACCCAGGGCTTCACTAGGAAGCAGGGAGGCACCTGAGCCCACCAGGACTAGAGTATCCAAAGGCACCATGGCATCTGTGTTCAAAAGGAAGTTTCATTGAGCTTCTTCTTGGGAGGTGTAAGGGGAGCCCCAAGACCGGTGGAGGGCCGGGGGGCTGGAGTTGGTGGTCTTCGGGGCTCCGGCGTGCTCCGCACCAGCTCCTGGCAGCGCTCTACAAAGTTGCCTCCTCCACGGCGCCGGGCCTCCACCTGGGGGGGGCTGGGGCTCCCACGGTGGCCAGACAGGGAGGTGCTGCTAGAGGCTGAGTGGAGACTGAAGGGGTGGCGAGGGTCAGTGCTGGGCAGCGGGGGCCACGCTTCCCACAAGGCCACTTCCCTCCCGCCAAGGCCAGACTGGGAAGCAGGGCTGCAGCTACCTGGTGAGGGAGGCCCGGGGGGAGGGGCTGCGGAGAGAGCTCCGGGAGGAAGCCAGGGGGGCCAGCTCACACTGCTCCAGCTGTCCCATCAGCTCCTCCTCCGTCAGGCCACCTGCTGTGGGGTAAGAAAACAGGGTCAGGCCAAGACAGTGATGATGGGGTAAGGGACACAGGGCCACCATCCAATACCCAGGGTTGGAAAAGGTTAAAAGAGGCTAGGAAGGCAGGGCAAGGAGGAGCTGGAGGGCCAGGAAAGGGGTCAGAGAGCAAGGGCCTGGGAGGAGAGATCAGGCCCAAGTGGGTTCTGTGTGAGGCTGCGCCTGGGGCAGAGCAGTACCTGGGGCCTGGCCGAGGCCGTCCATTGCAGTGGTCAAGTCCCACATGGCCAGACTACCATTGGCCTGGCCGGTGAGCAGGTAGCGCCGGGGCCGTGAGCCCAGACGCCGGGAGCCCTCACACTCCAGCACTGTGAAGGCGGTCGTGGGCGAGCCGTCCACCGAGCGTACAGAACACACTCTGCCAGGGAGAGCGTCAGAAATTTGTCCTGTCAGTCCCAGGGCCCCTCCTGGTCCCTACCCGCTTCCTGGGCCATGGTCCCCACCACGGTGGCTTCAGCCTGCAGTACTGGGGATTGAACCCAGGGCCCTTACCTTGAGCTACATCCCCAGCCCTCTGACCCAAGATCTTGCTGTATCACCTAAATTTTCCAGGTTCGGCTCCAACCTCTAATCGGCCTGTCTTAGCCTCTCAGACTTTTGGGATTCCGAGTTTATGCCACCACATCAGGCTCAGCTTCAGTTCTTGACCCTCCAATGAGCTCTCCACCCTACCTTTCTCTTCACTGATGGCTGTGGGCCTGTGGATGTCTCGCCTCTGTCCCTTCCTGCAGGTCCTAGCCAGGGTCTCCTCCACCCCCATCAGCTGCCTGGCATCTCTCCCAAGGCGCCTCTGCCCAGGGCTCCTGGTTTCTTGTCAGACTCCTACTCATCCCCACTATGGCCCCACCTGCTCTCTGGGTGCCTGGCCTCATGACTGCCACAGCCCTGCTCTTGTCTTCTTCAGCTCCAGGGTGCACACACTCCTGGCCTGAGAGCCCGTGTGACCCTTTCTGGTCTTCCTCCCTTCCTTCCACCTATTCCTTCTTAGCCTCCTGGTCCCCACTCAGACTCTCCTGTTCAAGATCATCCTTCCAGGGGCTGGTGAGATGGCTCAGTGGTCTAAAGCACCTACTTAGAACAAGCTTAGCAAAGCACAGGGACCGCGGTTCAATCCCCCAGCACCACATGCCAGCCCGCCCCGCCCCCTGGTGGGCTGAGCTGGCCACACACACACACACACACACACACACACACACACACACACACACAAATAAATAAAAATTAAAAAAAAAAAATCATCCTTCCAGCTGTGGCACACCTGCTATACTGCAGCACTTGGAGGCAGGATTGCGAGTTTGAACCCAGCCTGGGAAACTTAGTCAATTAGCAAGACCCTGTTTCAGAATAAAAAGTAAGTAAGGGCTGGTACTATAGTTCAGTGTAGAGGTCCTGGGCTTACTTCAGGAATAAGGAAGGAAAGAGCAAAGAAAGAATGAAAGCAAGAAAGGAAAGCAAGCAAGCAAGGGAAAAGGAAAGGAAAGAAAGGGAAACGAAAGGGAAAGGAAAAGAGGGAAAAAAAAAGGGACAGATCTACTTCTTAGGCCTCTGCCCAGACTGCACAAGCAGTGCTCTGGGCTGCCATGGCTTCCTGTGCCCACCTGGCCTGACCTCTGCCAGTGCCTCACCACCCCATCACTGACTCCCCTCCTGTACCACCCCATCACTGACTCCCCTCCTGCACCTGCCATCTTGCCCCAACTATACTGGGCTCTGTCCTGGGTCCTGCACAGACACTGAGGTCTCCCCAGTGTCACTCCTTCCATACCTGTCACATGCTTAATCCCTGCAGCCCCCAAACTCACCAGGCCTGTTTGACCTCTCAATCTCCGCTGCTTCACAGCTCCTTGGCTGATGACATCCCCCAAACCCCTTTCTGGCCTCCATAACCCAGCAGGAACCCTGCCTGCTCTCCGGCCACCCTCTTGGTTAGGCGGAACAGTCCTCACCGCTGGCCAGTGGATGAGAGGCGCACGAAGAGCTGGCTGGCACTTGGCACCACCTTTTGAACAAACACCTGCTGGTCGTCCCGCTCACCATAGGGGCCTGGCCAGGGAGGGGAAAGTCAAGGCTGGCTGGGGTCCTGCGCCAGTGCCGAAGCCTTCCCCCATGCAGGGGGAAGCTGGAGTCCTAGGGTCAGTGGGGTAGGGTGCTTGTCCATGGAGCAAGGGCACTGGGCTGAGGGACTCAGCAGGGTCACTGGGGATGGCAGTGTGCATAGGGTTAGCTGGGAGCAAAGGAAGGCCAACAGGGGTCAGCAAGTAATGGGGTAGCAGCCTTCAGGGCCAGCTCTGAGGGTCAGCTGGGCCCACGGGGTCAGGTAGGGCAGGGGGAGGGGCCGGGGTGACAGGCACCAATGTCATTGCCAGCACTGCAGCCACCATGCCCATCCGCAGACTCCAGCGCCAGGATCTTGAAGGAGGCAAGCGGGGTGGAGCCCGGCTGGGTGGAAATCATGCCCCGGAAGCGAGTCACAGACCACGTCCGCACATGGTTGTTGTCGGCACAGACTGAGGAGCACAGGGACCCAGAGAGGTCAGCTCTGCTGTGGCCGCGATGCTGCCAGACTTCCCAGCCCCAGACGATCCCTTTCGGAGCTGTCAGGTCCTGGTCCCCTCTACTCTTCCCTCACAGAAATTCTTTCTCCCCCAGGCTTCTGCATGGTCAGAAATGCTGCCTGCTCTGTTTGCAGTGGCCCAAGAGCTGGGCTCGCGCTACACTGCCCACCACCCAACCCTGACCCCCTTCTCACGTTCTGTCCTGTCCTCGTGGTGTCTACATTCACAGGGGACCTGTGAGCACTTGAGCCAGATCCCACCCCCAGCTCCTGCCCATCGCCTCTGTCCTCACCTCTGCCTGTCACTCACCCTGCTGCACGCGTGGGCGCTTCTCGGATATGACACGCCCACCTCTCTGCCCCTACTTGATGCTGCTCCCTGCCTTTCTGCACTGCCGCACCCCACACTTCTGTTCAAACATCCTCCCGAACACAGACCTTCCTGAACCACCCTTCTCCAGGAGCCCAGTCATTCTTATTTATTTTTTTTCCCAGTCATTCTTATGAAAGAAATGCACAAGCTATCAGGATAAAAATGGTGCTGCTTATGCCAACCCTCACAACAGGGCACCAAACAAGAAAAGCCAAGAGATTGTGAAGGAAAGTTTTTTGTTGTTGTTTTTGTTTTTATGTAGGTAGGGGATTGATTCTAGGGTTTTCACACTGAGCTATATCCCCAGCGCCACCCCCCCCTTTTTTTTTTTTTTTTTTTTTTTTGCAGGACCAGGGACAGAACTTGGGACCTTGCATTTGCCAGGCAGGAGCTTATGCCACTGAGCTATTGACCCAGCTGTAGCCCTTCCTTTTTTATTGTTATCTTTTTTGAGAGAGGGTCAGCTGGGCAAAGTGGCACATATATGTAACCCCAACATTTGGGAGGCTGAGGCAAGAGGATCACTGTGAGTTCAAGGCTAGCCTGGATCACATGTGAGACCCTGTCTCAAAAAACAAAACAGTCCTATACACACACACACACACACACACACACACACCCCAAACAGAAACAAGACAGGCTGGCCTCAAACTCTTTTCTCCCTCCTGCCTCAGCCTCCCAAGGTGCTGGGATTATGGGAGTGCACCATGTACCACTCCTGAAGGTCTCACACAGGACGGAAGGAACCACATATGCACAAAGGCCAGTGTGACCTTACACAACGACTTGTCCAGCTGTGGCCTGAACCTTCTGTTGTTATTTACCATTGTGGGCCACAGAGTTTGGTTTCAAAATATCTGATGTAATCTTCCATATTTGCCTTTCAAAACTTCCTCTTGCCTCAAACTTACTAAATAGGCCCGTAGTTTACTATAACAACACTCTGCTGCTCAGAAATAAGTGTCAAGATTCTTTGGAACCCTGACATGGTGGTGCATGCTTGCAACCCCAACACTGGGGAGGGTGAGACAGGAAGATCGCTGCAAGCTTGAGGCCAGCCTGCATGACAAACTGAGGCCAGACTCAACTGCATGGCGAGACCCTGTCTCCAAAAACAAGAAATAAAAACAAAATACGCAAAGTTAGCTCTGGGGAAGCAGGGACTTGGCTTGTCATGCGCATCACTGTATGCCCTGAGCCTGCCCACAGTAGGTACTCAATAAATGCTTGTTCACTCGATGAGTTCTTCCCCTGACCCCCTGCAAATGCACTCTTACTGGTGTGCTCCCATCTGAAAGCAACCCCCCTCTGGTCAGTTCCCTTCCTAGGCAGTGTCCCTCCCTCTCTAGTGGGACTCCTCCCCTTCTGGCCCCACGCCCCCCCTGAGCCACATCTCACAGTGAGACCCACCCGAGATGAGGTGCTTCTCTGACAGCATGATCTTGGTGACAGGACTGCGGTGCACAGTGAAGGTCTGGAAGAGCTGGGGCCCCGAGCCCACTGTTTCAGGGTGCTGTACGATGACCCTCACGCCCCCGGAGCTGGTGCCATAGGCAATCTCGATCCAGTTCCCGCTGTCACCTGGTAAGAAGCAGAGGATGAAGAGAGGGTCTGTGTAGCAAAGCGACAGAATCCAGGACAGAGAGAGACAGACACAGAGCAGGGCCAGAGCCAGAAAGCTGGCGGACAAAGACGAGGACAAGCTTGGGGGAGAGGTGGAAACAGAGGAACAGAGAGAGCCTGAGCCAGGGAGCACTGAGCTGATTAGCGAAGGGAGACAGAGAAACAGTCCCAGCCAGCCAAGAACTGAATGATGGAGACAGAGAGACCGGACAGATGGGACTGGAGTCAGAAAAGCATAGAAAGAGACACAAAAATACAGCAGGAAAGGCGAATGCAACCCAGGTGGTGTAGGCATTCCCAACCTGGCCAACTTTCCACTTTGCAACTCTCAGAAACTTAATGGGCCATTTTAAGGAATGTGGGGAGGTTATTGTGGTTTCAACTTTTATTTTTATTTTTGTACTAAGGATTGAATCCAAGGCCTTTCCACTGAGCTGTATCTCAGCCTATTTATTTACTTACTTACCTATTATTTAGTGGTAGTGGGGACTGAATCTGGGGCCTTCACTCTGTGCTATAGCCCATCGCCAAGTCTTTTAATTTTCTTTTTTTTGCAGAACCGGGGATTGAACTCAGGCCCTTGCACTTGCCAGGGAAGTGCTTATTCCACTGAGCCATCTCCCCGGCCCCCAATTTCTTGAGGAAGGGTATTGCTTTGTTGCTGTTTTTTTTTGTTGTTGTTGTTGTTTTGTTTTTGTTTTTGTTTTCTTAAGACAAGGTCTCACTAGGCAGCTCAGGCTGACCTTGAGCTCACTTTGTAGCCCAGGCTGGTCTCAAACTATCAATGATCCTCCCTTAGCTGCTGGTATTGCTAAATTGACCAGGCTGGACTCAGGTAGGCAGGCAGTCCTCCTGCCTCAACCTCCAAGAATGCTGGCATAACAAGCTGGTGCCACCATGTCTAGCAACTTTCAACATATTTTGTAGCAGTCACAAGCAATGGATGAGGGTAATACCTAGTAACAAAGACAGAAAGTAAATTTAGGGCAGGAAGGAGAAGAGGACAACTGAGCCATATATACCAGATTGCTATATATATATATATCATATATATATAGCAATATATATATCATATATATATATCATATATATATATAAAGTGTATTTTATTCTTTGTTTCTGAGAGAGGGTCTCCCTACATAGTTTAGGGTAGGTTCAAACTCATAACAACACTCCTGCCTCAGTCTCCTAAGTGTTGGGATTACAAGTATGGGCCACCACACCTACCATATATAGCAGTGTCTACAGAATTTCAAAGACATGTCCACACCCCCCTATTTTGTGTGGGCAGATACAAAAAGACAAGAAAATGTTAATAAGTGCTGGTGTCGTAGCGCATGCTTGTAATCTCAGCACTGAGGAGACTGAGGCAGGAGGATCACCTCGAGTTTGAGGCAGCCTAAACTGCATAGCAAAACCTTGTCTCAAAAAATTCCAAAATATGGGCCGGGGAGATGGCTCAGTAGAATAAGCGGCTTGCCTGGCAAGCTCAAGATCCTGAGTTCAATCCTGGGTTCTGCCAAAAAGAAAAAAAAAAGAAAAAAAATCCATTAAAAAAAAAGGTAAACCTGGTAAGATAGTGGCATGTGGGAGAGATAGAGATTTGAGGTAGAAAGGGATAGAGAGGAGCCAGGGTGATAGCTCAGTGGAATAAGCACTTGCCTGGCAAGTGCAAGGACCTGAGTTCAATCCCTGGTTCTGCAAAAAAAAAAGGGATAGAGACATGAAATAGGAGGCCTTCTGTAAGAAAAAAGTACCCATGTGCCATGAAGTTGGATTTCTTGGTTTTGTTTTGTTTCGTGGTACTGGGAATCAAACTCAGGACCTTGCATTTGCCAGGCAGGCACTGTGCTGCTGAGCTATCTCCCTGGTCCTGGGTGTATTATTAATTTATTCCTGCTAGGAAAAATCAAGCTGTAACCCCTGCTTTTCACCATATGTAAAAGTCAACTTGAGGAGTTTTTTGGGTTTTGTGATTTCCAGGTGCCCTAAGGGCAGGTCTGGTGCAGCCTCTGGAGCTGGGCATCGGACTGCCCTACTATGTGCCTGACTGAATTTGCCCAAGCAACGCTTTAAACAACTGAACTAACTGGCAAAGCCCCTAAAAGTCAACTCGAGAAAGGAGAACTCTGTGTGAAAGATGAGGCAAAGGCTTATAAAACACAGAGGAAAACCTCTGCAACCTGGAGGAGGTAAAGAGAGCTAACCGCAGAAAGCATTAAACACACACTGCACAGCTCCATTTCCATGGGGTGCCCACAATGGGCAAATCCACAGTGGCCACTCTCAGCCTGGCACCAAGAACAGGGCTAAATAAATATTGTTGAATGACTGAATGAGAATTCAATCTGTCCTTCCTCTTGATCTGTCCTGTGACATGCCATATGTGCAAGGACACAGCTATAGACTGGGGCCGGAGCGGCTGGTGACAGCAAGGGCAGGAGCTGGGTCAGAGCTTACTGGTCTTGGGGGTGAGGTAGACACTGAGGGCAGTGACTCCGTCCTCTGCTGGGTCCCGGTAGAGTTCACTGACCAGGAGGTCATTGTCCTTCATCCGAAGAGGGAACTTCTGCACATCTGGTGAGCAAAATGGTATGTTCCAGGTGCCTGGCCTGCCCCCTCTCCTGTGGCGGGGTGGTTCTGTCCAAGCTGCCCTCCCCTCCCCAGCAGCTCCTGCTCACCCACATAGTAGATGGAGCCACTGCTGCATCCCAGGAGGAGGAAGGAGCCTGCTGCGTCATAGCTGGTGATGGGCTGTACCTCTTGGACCTGGGCGTGCAGGACGACAGTGGCTGAGGGCGCCTGCAGCCTCTGCATACCATTGCTCCTTCCAGCAATCCTGGCCTGCCTGGTCCCAGCGGCCCTAGGTCTGGTCTACCTGTCCTCCTCCTCCGCTGGCTCCCTGTGTCTCCCTCATGTCTCTTGCTTTTGGTGGTCCCTGAGTGTCTCTCGGCCTTCACTCCTCTCTCTACTTGTGAGTCAGTCGCCATTCATTCATTCACCCACTGGTCTTTCAGTCCCTTTGTTCTAACTTTGTGCTTCTGTTTATTTTCTCCTCCTTCCATCTTCTGTTTCTTTTCTTTCTTCTCTGCCTCCCCCCCAAACACAATACTTTAGGTTTTTTTTGGGGGGGGTTCTTTTTTTTTTTAATGTTTTGGATACAGCCCTGGGTGGATGGAGAGTAACAGATGTCTGCGTGTCTCTCTGTACTTCTGCCTCCTACCTCATCTCTTTCCCTGGGACCCAGGGAATTATCTCCTCTCCCTTTGAGAACCACCCATTCCCCGGTCAGCTCCATGGCCCCTCCTCCAGGAAAGCCTCCCGCTGCTAGCTCTGGGCCACTGGAAGAGGTCAGTGGCCCAGAGCTCTGACCTGCCAGTGCTTGGTGACTGCATTCCACACCCCGATGCGCCCAGTGTGACTTGTGGCAATGAGCTGGTTTCCCACGAAGAACAAGGCCTCCACAGGCACCCCCAGGTGGAAGACTCCTGCAGGGATAAGGAGGGCTTGCTCAGGATTCCACTTTGGCACCGGGACAGTGGCAGCAGGAACTCTAAGGGCCAGAGGATTTAGTTGATCCATGGAATCCTGACACAGTTGAGGATTCCAGCAGGAATTATAGGTATTTCCGGGCAAGAGGGGAGCTCTGAAGAACGTGGAATCTAACATGGTTTAAGATTCCAACAAGGAAAAACCCTGTAGTGACGGAGGACTCTGATGAGGATCCTAAATCCTAAGAGGCCCTGGCAGGGGGCACTGCAGAAGATCTAACAGGACAGGTGATTCTCAGTGGGGCGAGAACTGGCTATGGGTAGATTTTCCCAAAAACCAAAGGAATTCTGAAAGGCATGAAGCATTTTAATGGGGTCATGAGATCTAATGGGAAGGAGAATTGTTACACACTTGGTTATTTTATGGGGTAGGTTGTTAATTTCGGTTTTTGGTGAGATAAGGTCTCATTATGTAGTCCAGGCCACTAGTGAACTCAAATTCTTAATCCTCCTGCCTGAGCCTTCTAAGTGCTGGGACACACACAGGCGTGGTCACTACATCCAGTTCTGTGGTGGGTTCGTTTAACAGGCAGCAGAATTCCAAGGGCAAAGACCTAGGGCCATACCTATCTCGGAGCCACCGCCTTCCAGTTGCAGAGCCCACAGCAAGATCTCACTACCAGTGGCTGCGGCCACCATCTTGTCATGCTCGCCCAAAGCCCCGCCAGGCACCCTGGCTGTGAGAGCCAGGCGCTCAATGGGCCAGTCCAGGCGGGGGCTGGAAAATACCAGCTGCCAGCCACAGGCCTCCTTCAGCCTGGAGAACAGAGAGGATACCATCAGCCTTCACCTCAAGCCCTTCCCACGCCCAGGGCTCAGAACCCCCAACTCCCCACTCTCTGAGCACCTATAGCAGACAAGAAAGTGGGTATAGGCCACAGCGATCCAGTTGTTGTGTCCACACACTAGGCGCACCATGCCTGCCTCTTCCGGTTGCCCTTCGGGGAGAGCATGGATTGGAGTGAAGGTCACAGGAACCCCATACAGGTTGCCCTGACCTCCCAGATGCCTGAAATTTACCTGAGGGTGAGGGGGGGACTTTCTCGTCCAGCATTCGGCCCAGCAGCCCTGCATTGCCCAGGTTGGGGGGCATCGTGTTGCTTCGCCGAACGGTGGCCAGGCGTCCCCCTAGCTGCTGGGAGCCTACCAGGCTGTGCCGGTTTCGCCGCTTCACTGGGAACACTGAAATCAGGCAGGGAGGAGCAGCGATAACTGTCGGGCAGTAAGCATTTCAACTACGACAGCTACAAAATTCCCACATGAGGAGCAGTCTCTTGGTAAAGATTTTAGGTAGAGTTGGGACATAACATTCAATGAGTCACACAGCAAGTTACTCCCGTCCTGCAGTTCTTGAGTCCATCACAGAGCAAGGCTCGGTTTGGTGCAGCTGGGATATCAATGCTGCCTTAATATTTGCTAATCTTTCCTAGAAAATGGAAGGTTACTCTTGGCAGGCAAGAGTCCTAATAATAACATTGATATTTAAGTTTTACTTTCATGTTTCATTTGTATTTATGGTAGAGGCAGTGGTACAAGCTCCTATTTATGATGGTTTCCCCTGCAAAACTGAGGATTGAACTCAGAACCTTTGCACTGAGCTGCACCTCTTGCCATTATTATTACTATTATTATTATTATTATTATTATTATTTTATTTTTTTTTTTATGGTACCAGGGATTGAACTCAGGACCCTGCACTTGCCAGGCAGGCACTTATTCTACCGAGCTATCTCCCTGGCCCTTGCCCTTATTTTTTATGAGATAGGATCTCACTAAGTCCTAAATTGTCCAGCAAGGCTTGAACTTGTGATCCTGTTGCTTCAGTCTCCCAGAGATGGTGTGTATTGCCATACCCAGCAGATGATTTTTGTTTTTTGCAGAACCGGGGATTGAACTCAGGCCCTTGTACTGCCAGGGAAGTGCTTATTCTGCTGAGCTATCTCCCCGGCCCCTGCCAGCAGATGATTTTTAAGGTAGGATAAACTAAGAAAAATAATAGGACAGCCCTTTATATGTGGCAGACTTCATGGAGCAGTAGACAATGACGGGAGCTAGGGAAATAAAGTCATACACTAGATTACTATGCTCCTTCTTCCAATCAGCAAAGTCCAGTGGACTGCAGTTCCCAGTAACCTCTGAGGCATATTTCCCATAGTAGGCTGATCCAAGGTCTCATGGGAATTGTAGTAAATAACTTGCTGTTAATACTATTCCCCTGTATGCAAAAAAAACCCATTTCTTCCAAAGCCTCCTCACAAGAAAATCAAGCCTGGACTACAGTTCCCATGGGGCTCTAGCTTATGTATCAGAACACCAAGTAGAACCAGTTGGCCCACTGCCTTACAGAAAATTCTGTTTTCTGCTTCGTTTCCAAGTATTTGCTCTGATATAGAACTACAATTTCCGCTATGTCTCAGGGCTCATAGCACAGGTACCTAAGAGCTGCTGCCTTATAGGAAATGTAGTTTTGAGCCTACCCCTTCTCCCCTCCATCCATCAGGAATGCCCACCTGGTGGGGGTAGGTAACCATTGAAGAGGACATTGCCACAAGAAGATCGATCTAGCTCCTCCAGCAGCTGCAGGCGACGAACTGCAATGGAAGGACTCAAAGTTGGGACTTGAGAGGATGCTAAGACAAAAGCTTTTGCCATTCCATCTTTTTCTTCACAAAACATCACCACTACCCTCAGAGCCAGGGGCAAATCCAGTACTCTTAGCTCTAACCCAACCCTCTCTCAGAACTGGAAGGAAAAGAGCACAAAGCTCTTGGAAGGTTCAGTAGGGGACTGGTTTTCTACCCAGTGAGGATGTTTACTGCTTCCTCCTGACACCCCCCCCCACATACACACTTACCCAAGGGAGTGAGTCCATAGAACTGGGCTTCATGAAGGAGGCTGGAACCATGGACACCCCTAAAAAGAATAACTGATTAGGGGCCTGGGTCTCCAGCCTGGTACAGAGCAGATAAGTCTAAGTAGGAAGTTTTACAGCAGCAGAGAGAATTTTGAGAGGTAGCTACCTTTAGGAGAGAATACTAAGAAACAATGATATGAACAGTTAAAGTTCGTGTGTGTGTGTGTGTGTGTGTGTGTGTGTGTGACTTCTAAGGACAAATAATTTAACAAGATCAAGATTCTGAGTAACTCTAATGGAATGAATCTTTTTTTTTTTTTTAAAGTTTTACATATATATTTATTATTATTTCTTTCCTGTGGAGACATTTTGGAATGAATCTTAAGGATACTCTCAGAGAGAGAAGACGTGAGAGACGCTCCTTTATCCACTCCATACCAACCTGTGGTCCAACTCCTTGGTGCGCAGGAAGTTGAGGATGGGGGCGAAGATGGTGGGGTCCCTGTCGATGAAGATCTGCAGGAAACAGCAGAAAGAAGATGGTAACTGAGTGGAAGGCTTGTCCCTCCTCCTAATAGCCACCCCATTCAGCTCTTGCCCTACTCACTGCTCCGGTCTCATCTTTCAGGGTTGAGATGCGTCCACTCAGCAGACTAAGAAAGGGGAAACATCAGGTGTCAGAGGCCTTGCCAGGAGGTGGGTAGCTGGTGGAAATTAGGCTTTCCTGTGCCCTCTGCTCTCACCCCGCATCCCCCCACTCCCGCCCCAAACCAAGCCGGATCACCTAGAGAAGAAGGAGTCTGGGATCCAGGTGAGAGTCTGGCGAGAGGTACTGAATCTGGGTGGGTACGGTAAGTGAATGCAAAAAATGGACAGAGTGAAAAACGCGGCCCCATCCCTAAGATCCTGGTTGTTTTCCCCACCTCCAGCATTTTTCCAGCCTCCGCACCCCCACCTGGGGGCGGAGCAACCCTTGATGGACAGGGATTTCTCCAGGAGAGGCGGGCGCTCCGACTCCACTTCCCGCCCCTTAGTGCAAAGCCTGAAGAACCTCTCCCACTCACCTTTTGCCTCCCACATTCAGATGGATCACTTCTCCCGGAGGACCCCGACCCGGGACCCCCTCGGCTACACTTGCAGCCGCAGCCATGGCCCCCGGGAGAGCCGGCCGGCCGGCCCGCACCCACTTCCGGGTGTGTACTCAGACCCACCCCCATAGTGTCTTCATTGGGCCGGAGACTCAAGAAGTCACCGAGGATTGGACAAAGCATTAGCTTGTCAAAGTTGAATTCTCCGCCTACTTAAAGGGATCCGCCTTTCCGGGCAGCATCTTCTGGGAATTTTAATAACTTCCCTATCCGTCCAGAAGTCCCATTTTAGGTAGGGTTCTCAGATGATTCGTCGAGGTGCAGGTTGATAGATCCCGAAATTAGGGCACACCCTAAGGTACACCTAGACGTTCTCCGAAGCTATCGATGCCCCCTAGCCCGTTCAGGAGGCGCAGCCCATGAAATGCTAACAAATCAGCATAGACCGTCAAAGCCAAGGGGTTTATTTTAAGTACATACAGTGTGCGCCCGCCACACCGCCCCACACTCCCAGGCCCCAGCGGCTTCTCCTGGCGGCCATGGGACTGTCCACGACCCGCTTCCTCCACTCTCTAGGGAGGTGCTCCAGCCAGAAGCATGCAGGGGTGCAAGGGAGGGCTTCCCCTCACCCCTCCCCTCAAGAAGTGGCATTTACATTGAGGGAGGAGGTAAGAGGAAGGCAGTTCTGAACTTTGACGCCCCTCCCATTAAAAGCCTTCGCGCGGATGCGGGGCAGGAAAGGGGGAAGTCTACCTTTTGCAAAAATAAACTAAGTCAGGAATTAACCACATGGCTCCGAAGTGATGGAGTGCAGAGGCTAGGGCCCCTCCCCCATCCAGACAGAGTTCAAGGCAGCATTGGAAGTGAGGTAAAGGCGGGGAGGGAGTGTCCCCTCCCCACCCCCTAGCACCCTGGATGGTCCAGGGGACCTCACCAGCGCCCCCGTGCCCATCCTTAGGGCGGAGAGGAGGGCCAGGAATTAACGCCCCCACCACCCCAGCTTCTTGGGACAGGATCTGCCCATGGGGCAGGGGCCTTGGCTCAACTGGTCCCCTGCCTGCCCCCACTAAGCTCAATTATTGCATAAAAATAATGGAGCCCCAGCACCTGGGGTGGGGGTGGCGAGGGGGAAGGGGCCGAGATATGGCTATAGGGGCAGCAATCTCCCCATCACTGGTTGGGATGCAGGAGAAGTCCCCTCCTTTCTGGTGCCCGTCGTGGTGAGTCGGCAGCGTTGGAACTAGGGGCTCTGGCCCTTGCAGAAGAAAAAGTGTCTTTGTGCCCGCAGTGCAGAGAGAAGGGGCAGGGAGACTCGCCAGGCCATGGACTTAGGGGAGTCACTTCCGGCGCCCACTGGCCCTGCGCTCCCCTCCCTCACGCTTGGGGTTGCCTTCATCTGTGGACGAGGTGGTGGGTAGTGTCTGTCCCCAGCGGGCAATCTCTGCGTGTTCTGCCACCGAGGCAGCCACTGCCTCCAGCCAACCATTCATCTCCTCCTGGAAAAGGAAACAGTGTATGGAGTCTGGAATAATAGATGAAAAGTGGAGTCAGACCATCCTCTCTGAACTTGAGTTTTCTACTCTGGTGAGATAACAATGATAGAAGGTAGCGCTTAGTTGTAGCAGGCTCTGTTCTAAGGGGTGGAGTGCTGTTCTAAGCACTTTTTGTGGATTAACCTATACAACAGGATACAATAGGGTTATATATAAATCCCCATACAGATAAGTAACACGGGTGGACACCTACCAAGCACTAACATTTATGAAGACCTATGCTCTACATATATCAATGTATGTCTCACAAAAACTCTATTAATTTTTTTTTTTTTTTTTGCCAGGTGTGGTGGTGGTGGTACATGCCTATAATCCCAGTAGAGGATGAGGCAGGAGGATCTATGTGAATTGAAGGCCAGCCTGGGCTACAAAGTGAGCCCAAGGCAGGCCTGAACTACATAGGGCCTGAACTCAAAAAGACACAGAATAAAACAAAAACCATTTTTGGGAGGTGCTGGAGACTGAACTCAGGGCCTTCACACTGAGCTATATCCTCACCTCTTATTTTAAAATTTTGAGACAGGGTCTCCTTAAGTCATAAAATTGCCAGGTTGGATTTGAACTTGCAATCCTCTGTCTTAGCTCCCAGAGCTGGAATTACAGGAATGGGCCACCATCCCTGGCTTCCATGTTATAGAGCAGTATAAGGAGACAGGAAGAGAATAAGGCCTTCTTAGCTTTTTGTGAAGACTGAGGTTACCAGTGTCACTTATTACTCTCAATTCCTGCTGAACCAACCTTCCTGTCTTCTCCCTAGCCTCACAGCCCAGTCCTGAGGCCCATTCACATTCCTATTTGCTTCCACCTCTCCCCACAAGTCTGCTGAGTCCAGCCCAGCACTCTCCACTGGGCTCCTGTCCTGGCAGCATCCTGGTCAGCCCTTCACCCATCTTCCCATACCTGGTAGCCAAAGAAATCTTTATTTTATTTTTTTTTTAATTTTTTTTTAATGTGTGTGTGTGTGTGGCCAGCTCAGCCCACCAGGGGGTGGGGCTGGCTGGCATGTGGTGCTGGGGGATTGAACCGCGGTCCCTGTGCTTTGCTAAGCTTGCTCCAAGTAGGTACTTTAGACCACTGAGCCATCTCACCAGCCCCCCAAAGAAATCTTTATTAAGGAACACTCAAACCTCCTATGGCTCCCTTGTCCCCTTAGGACAAAACCCAAATCCCTCCCAAAGCCTATTATACCCTGAGAAATCCAGCCCCTGGGAATTTTCTGGGACTTAGTCTGGGTACTATTTTCCATAGTCCAGTCACTCTGGGCCAAGCCAGGTCATTTTGAGGTCCACAGGGGCATGGAAGGACCAAATCTCACCTCATCTTTAGCCTGCAGCAAAAACTCACTGCCATCCTGGGTCCTACAGAAGGGAACATGGGATTAGAGGGGTCCCAAAGCACCCAGTCCCCACCCCCACCCCCTGCCAAATGTTCTCCAAGGCAACCAAGGGTCCCCACTGGAGCCTGGAATTGGGCCTCAGTCCCTCCCTCCTGCCCATCAGGGGCTCACTGGAGCTTGAAGACATGTTTTTTCTTCTTGTAGTCACTAGCCACCTCGCTTGTGGCCTTGTGCAAGCTGAGCAGTGGCTCCCCACCATGGGTGCCCCCGGATGCTGGGCCTTTGGCATCCTTGTAGAAGCCCAGCTCCCCTTTGCTGAGCACGCAGTACAGGCTCACCCAGGACCTGGGGGGAGGAAATGGGGCTCAAGGCAGAGCTGCAGCACACTGCCGCGGTACTCTCTGACATCCATGGTGTAAGTGTGCTGCATGTGCTTGCCTTCGGGCCTCTGCCCTAGCTCACTGGGCCATATGCCAGGGAGCTCTTCCTTAGGGGTGTTCCTGAGCTGAGAGGAATGTCGAAGGCTCACAGTCCCATGTCTTTGCCCAGGATGGCCCCTGATGGGCCTACCCTTTCTTATCCTCTCCTATACTGAAGTCCTGAAGACAAAACTTCAACTGCCTCCTCCATAAGCCTTTGTTCCTCTTCATCCTTTCTACTCCTTCATCTCCGCCCCCCCACCACCACCTTTCACTGAGCTCCTTCATGGAAGATCTGTTTAGAATGACTAATTTCTGTCTCCCCATCTAACTAAACCCCAAATCCAAGAAGTCCCAAAGGAGCTAAATGGTTCATCAAGTGCTCCTCTTCGTTTCCACCTTGGCCAGGGACAACAGAGAAAGTCACCACCCACATCCATCAGTAAAGCCTGCATCCTGCCCTGTGCCCCTGTCTTGTGTTTAGGCCTCACTCCACTCCCTGGGCAATGCTATCTTTCTTGGCCCCAACTGTGCCCAACTGGACAAAAATGTCCTGGTCAACTAGAAACTGGTTTAAGAAGAAACAAAAAATCCCGGCTAGATCCTGATTTGGAAACCTCTTTGAGACCCTCCCCTCCATTCTACACACCTCTCAGAATTTGGGCTCCACCCCTTTTCCCACCCCTTCCCCAATTTGAAACTTTTAAGCTTAGCCTCCTCTTCATTGGTTAGAGGATGTCTCCAGGCTCCAAAGACCACTGAAATCCTCCAGACTCAACTTCTCCCCTAACTTGTGCCTTACTGAGTTCCAGCTTAATTAACTTTCTCCTCGTAGTCCTGCTTGCAAACAAGGGCCGCCCACTCAAGCTATACAACCTGCTAACATTAGGCCCCGCCCCACCCTCCTTGTCCCCGCCCTCCCCTCCTCTGGACGGTTGGAAATCCTGTAGTTGAGCCCCACCCTCCCTGGCCCAACTATTCACTACTGAACACCCTAAGTTTGGTCTCTGCCTTCCACGGCCCCGCCCATGCACTCACCGGTTGGACGACTTGCGGTTGGCGTCGAGCTCACGCTTGCGCAGCAAGAAGCCCTCATGCTGCACTGTGTGAGTGGGTGGGGGCGGAGGGGCAGGGGCGGAGCCTCCCTGGGCGGGGGCGGAGCGCGACCGCCGGCTTCCCCCGCCTTCACCACCTTCTCTTGGCCGCGGCCGCCTACGCGGCTTGGGTCTGTCCCGCGCCCTCGGCCGATCAGGCCGTGGTGTCCGCTCCGGTGGCTCAAGGCCATTGGGCAGACGGCCAGGGGGGAGCTCACGAGGCTGAGGCAGCGACGGCTGTGTGAGGGAGGGGAAAGAAGGGTGCTGTCCACGTGAGGGCGTAGGGGCCATCTGTCTGGGGGAGCCCATGGATTTGGGGTCCCACAGGTCTGCAGGACCATGTCTTGGAGGTGAGGATGGGAGGAGCTCAGGACTCTTGGGAGAGAATCTGTCAGGACTCGGTTTGGAATCTTGGTCTCCAAGGTGGAAGGAAGAGACTAGAATCTATGGAGATAGGTCCAAGGAATTCCCATAGGAAGAATCTGGGGCTACCTTCTGTGTGTACATGGCTATCATCTACATGGACATTTTCACTCCCACTGGGCCAGAGACATATGCAGGAAGAATTTAAGAATCTATATGTGTGGGGGCAGTCCTTTAGGTGGTAGCCTCATCTTTGTAAAGGAGAAATTTTCAGGTCCCAGATTAAGGGAGTAGACCCAGCCATAGGCACTGTTTTCTGAGATCCTGACTTGCTCTGACAGGGGGTCTCCATACCCCCACCCATTCCGTGTTCAACTTACCACACCAGCAGGGAGCCCTGGGCCCGCCTCTTTCTCCTGCAGCTGCTCCACAATGTCAGCCAGGGTGGCCTTCCTGGGGCAAGGGGGACAGAAAGATCCAGTGGAACTGGAATGCCTTTGCCCAGGGCCCTGCCTGTCTGGAGGAGTGTCCTCCATCTTTAATTGTGAACCATGAGGCCTCTGTCCACTTCTCCATTGTCACACACAGATCTGACACTTGTACACCTTGGGTGCTCCAGACACTGCTGCTGAATGGAGGACAAAACCTCTACCCACCTTTTTTTTCCTTTTCTTTGTCCTGAGGAGGAACCCAGTGCCTTCCCACTGAGCTGCATCCCCAGCCCTTCATATTTTTTTTGAGATAAATTTTCACCCAGTCACTAAATTGCTCACTGGGCACAAATGTGAAATCCTCCTGCCTTAGCCTCCCAAATTGTTGGGATTGCAGGCATGAGCCACACACCTGGCTCCTCACTTTCTGAGTCTCCCAGTAGCAAAAAGCAGAAGGCAAACTGGCACCTTCAAACCTTTGAATACACCACTGCCCTTTAAAACAACCACTCCCTAGGCTGCCAAGTCCCTGGACTTCCCTACCCTGATCCTGGTCATTCTGGGTCTTCACTGTCCATGGAACGTCTATTTAAGTGTCTGGGCTGTGGGCCTCCTGAAGGGAGGCCTAGGACTCATGTGGTCAGTACCCTCCCTAGCACAAGCCAGGCAGCGTGGGCACTCAGCAGATGCTCACGGGGTAGGAAACTTCAAAAGGGCCAAGAAGCCACTGTCTTCTGTCCTTTCTGGGGGCAGAGCTAGTTGGACTGACTGCACACCCGGCTCTGGTTAAGGCTGGTTTCAGAATGCCTGGGCGCTGTTCTAGTTTATCTGAGCCACACTGGAGGTAACAACAGCCCCACTCCATGAGGCCAAAACAAATGATCCTCTACCCAATTAAGGAGGTGCTATTTCCACCAGAAGCCCAGGGGAGAAAATGTGTTGCAAAGCAGATAAAATCCCTGCGCCAGATCCTGCCCCCACCCCAATTCAGTGCGGGCCTCTGTTCTCACAGGCTGAGAACTTGTGCTTGAAGGTGCCCTGACTTTTCGGCCAGGAAGAGCTGACCTTGGGGAACACTGGCACAGCTACCTTGGGTCTCAGTTTACACCTCTCGAAAATGGGTACCACCACACTAGCCCTGTCACTGGGCCTGCACCCCTCTAGAAGCGCTCGTTTTCCCCTCCCTCCTTCCCTCCCTGCTCCCACTTGGCCTCACCCCTTAATCAGGTCCCCTCTGGCCGGCGTCTCCTGCTCGCTGGACTCCTGCCGTTCCAACCGCCGTTCCCGCCGCTCCCGCCGCCGCTCCATCTGTTCGTAGCGGCCCAGCGTGAGACTGTGCGCCGCCTCGTGCTCCGCCGACTCCTGGCGCTCCGGCCGCCGCCTCCGTGCAGCTTCCTCGGGTTGATCTGCCGACTCCTGGCGCTCTGGCCGCCGCCTCCGGGGCAGCTCCTCCGCGCGATCAGCTGACTCCTGGCGCTCCGGCCGAAGCCTGGTCTGCTCCGCCGCCGCCGCCGCCGCCGCCGCCGCCGCCGGGGTCCCGGGGGTCTCTGTCGCGTTCTCCGGTGCAGCCGGAGGGGCCACCGGGACAGCCGGCGGGGTCACCGGCTCCGACCTGCCCGGGATCTCGGGCAGCCGGTCAATGCGCGGCTGCAGGCGCTCGGGTTTGAGCTCCTGGCGCACGTACCCCACCCGGGTCCGCACCTCGGCCGACAGTGTGTCCGAGGCCCGGCGGGCCAGGGGCTCCAAGCCCCTCTCATATCCCCCTGGCCGCAGCAGGGGCGCTGCCTTGGCTGCCAGTTCCGTGGGGTCCCCGAAGAACTTGCGCCCCAGCAGGGGGGTGGGTGGCTGCTTGCTCTGTTCCGCCTTGAGTTTCTCAATCTGGGAACCAAAAGACCTGGGTCAGATTTTTTTTTGTCTTTTTTTTTGTCTTTTTTTGAGACAGGGTTTCACTACGCAGCTCAGGCTGGCCTTGAGTTTACTTTGTAGCCCAGGCTGGTCTCGAACTCACCATGATCCTCCTGCCTCAGCCTCCAGAGTGCTGGGATCACAGCCCTGCAGCGCTGTGCTCAGCTTCCCGGGTCAGATTGGAGGGGTGGGGTTAGGGACCCGGCTGGGCAGGCACTCTGGTTTCTGCTTCCCAGCTCAATGTACTGGTTCCTTAAAGTCTTTTGAAGTGGCCTGGTTGTTCAATTGAGCCTTTGCCCTACTGCACACTATACCAAGAACAGGAATTCCTACTAACGTCTATTGCTTTTGTAAAAATGAACTAAACCGAGCCTTCTGTAGGGAGTGTGACCTCTCCTTCTCCCTTCCTAGTGTTCTCCAGAACCAGGACAGCAGGATTTTTTTCTTTTTTTCTCAGAAAGCTCTCTTCATTTCATTCTTCAAGGCTCACTTGAGACTCCCTGAAGCCAGGACGAATGTGTCTGGACTCCGACAGCCTCCTGTGCCCCATTTGCCCCTGCAGTCCCCGTCCCTCTGTTCTTCCCTAGCATGTTCCCACCCTCTCTGGACCGTCACTGGTGACAGGTCTATCCCAGCTCCCACTGCAAGCCCAAATCAGGTGCACATCTGCACCATGTCCAGGTGTGCCTGGCCTACACAGGGTTGCGTGTGGGGGCTGTGGGATGCCTAGAGCCCCGAATCTGGGATGCTGACCGTGGTCAGGCGCCGCAGGGAGCTAAACCTCTCTTCCCAGGCTGCAGCTGCTTTTCGGAAGGCCTCGTGTCGTCGAATAAGCTGCTCCACCTCATCCACACTGCTGCCCAGCTCCCGGCTCTGCAGGAGCGGCTCCTGGGCTGTCAGCCAGGCATCAGCCACCACGGCCTCCTGGGCAAACTGGTGCACCTCCAGCACTAGGGGAGAGGCACACAGGGTCAGGGTGCCAGGAGCACCTGGGGGCCCTGCCTGTCATCTCTGGTCTTCCACACTCCTCTGGCTTTCTCTGTCCCAGCCCTGACCTCTCTGAACCCTGCAGGAGTGACAGGACCTGGGGCTATCTCTGACGGTACCAGTTTCTCACTGAGGTGTCTCCCATATGGGTTCAAGGGCAAGGCAGCCCCTGCCCACCCTCCTAGGCTCTTGTGTTTGCTTTTGAGGACGCATGGGTAGTGTGCAAAACACGCTCATGTAATCCTCAGGGCTGGAGCATGTCCCTAGGGCCCCAAGCAACATGTCCAAGCCCACACTCACTCTGCTGCAGCCACTCCCAATGGCGGTCCCACTTGTCCGACACTTCCTCCTTCCTCGTTGCCAACTTGTCCAGCTGTGCCTGGATCTGCGTGTGGTGGGTAAGTGGGAGGGGCATTAGGAAGAGCTCCTACCCAGTGTGCTTAGGGGGAAGAGGAGACCCCTGCTCCCCTCCCCACCTCATCAGCCATGGCGCTCTTGTTGAGCAGCAGAGAGCGTCCCAGCTCCTGGCAGGCAGTCAGCTCAGGCACCCGCGCCTCCAGCTCGGTCTTCAGGCCCTGGTGGTAGTTCATGAGCACCTCCACTGACGACACGTCCCTGCAGGGGATGGGCGGTAGGCAGCCATCTGAGCCACAGGCAGCCACCCTTGGCCCTCCCTTGACGCATGGCTCCCACGAGCCCAGATTCTGCAGGCTGATGTACCAGAGAGTCTCAGGACATCTGCCTCCTATGGTCAAGTTCTAAGGGCCCAAGGGTCTTTAATAATTCATTAATTCCCATATGCCCAGGTACCACGATTTGATCCTTTTAGTCTAAGTTAGAATCCTAGGAGGATTTTTTTTTTTCCCTAGGAGGATTTTGAGGCCCAACTTTCTAACTACCTGTAGTTACGTATCTAGACAATGATTCTAACCTCAAAAGTTTGTGCTGTAGACACATGTGGCTACTGAGCACCTGAAATGTGGTTGGTTTGAAAGACATGTTTTAAGTTTCAGGTGACCATGAGACTTTAGTGTGCAAGAGAATGTAATTTCAGTTTTCTTGTTTGATTGTTTTTTTGACACAGGGTCTTAATATGTAGTTCAGACTGGTCTTGAACTCACTATGTAGCCAAGGGTGGCCTCAAACATTGAGTGATCCTTCTGCCTCAGTCTCCAGAGTGCTGGGATTACAATCATGTGCCACCATGCCCAGCAATTATTTCAATACTGACTATATATTGAAATCACAGTGTCTTGGTTGTGTTGGGTTAAATAAAAGATGTTGCTAGAATTCATTTTCACTGGCTTATTTTTAATGTGTTTACAAGAAAAATTTTAATTATATATGTAGCTCACATCTGTGGTTTAAATTATAACTATCAGACAGTGCTGGACTAAACCATATGACCAAAACAAATTCCACGGGGCATTGTAAGCACCTAGGAAGCACAGAAGACAGGAGGCTGCCCCATGTTCTGAGCCCCCAGTGCCAGGCCTGAAGGATGTCTTAACACATGGAAGCATCTAGAACAATGGTACACACAGAAAGCTGCTGCGCAGGGATGACTATTGTGATCTTCTATAGGAAGGGGATAGTTGGTGAGCCAGAGGCAACGGGGGGAGGCTGCCAGAGGCTGCTACGAATGCCGGAGTAGGGTGGGAGGCACCTGGGCTTGTCGGCTGCCCCAATCTGGCCTGCGATGCCGTCCATCCAGGAGAGCAGGTCTCGGGCCTGGCTGTGGAAGCGCAGGGCGTCGGCCGTGGAGCTGACGTGCAGGCGGGCATCCTCGCAGGCTGCCAGCAGCTCCTTCCAGCCCTGCAGCACCTCCTGCTCCCGGCTGGCGATGGCCTCAGCGTGCTCACCAGCATACACGGTCCGCAGCTGGGCCGCCCCCTCCTGCAGCTGCCGGACCTGAGGGGCATGGCAGATCGGGCACTGCCCTCCACTAGGCCCAAGCTCCACCCCTGCCGCATCTGCTCGCTGAGTGCAGAGCTTCAAGATGGCAGGAGCCCACCCCTACAAGCCCACCACCCTGCTTCCTCCATACTCATTGCCTGAGTTCCCTTGAACTTACTGCTCCTTGCCTTCTGGTAAATGCACTACCACATTTCTTTCATGTCTACTCTTTGATTCTTTTCTTAATTTTCACTTTTAGCATTAAGGATTGAACCTGGGGCCTTGCACATGCTAGGGAGGTGCTCAAGCACTGAGCTATATCCCCACCCCTTTTGGTTTTCTTTACTGACAGGGTTTTGTTACGTTGCCCAGACTGGCCTTAAAACTGTGATTCTCCTGCCTCAGTCTCCCAAGCAGCCGGGATTACAGGCAGGTGCCATTGTACCTGGCTGCCAGATTCTTCTTTGCCTTAGCTGCATTCTAACTTCCTTTAGCTCCACCACTAGATCTGCCTGCCTGAGCCTCCCGAGCGCTGGGATCGCAGGCATGCACCACCATGCTCACCTTCTACGTTCTGTCTACAGGTTTTACTGTTCGAGTGCTGCTGGTTCTTTCAGCCCAAGTATTTGATTTCTTTCAGAGTGGCCCTCTTCCTATTCCTATCAGATCTACTGCTTATTTGCTATCAGTCTCTCAGCCTGACTCCTAGCAGTCAGCTGTGTGATTCATAAAAATAATCATCTGGGGGCCAGGGAGATGGCTCAATGGAATAAGCACTTGCCTGGCAAGTGCAGGGGCCTGAGT